TGTAACAGCAGCTCCACAGGGGGGGCCCAATCAAATTTTTTGTCAGGGGGCCCAAGATTCCAGGCGGCGCCCCTGAGTGGGGGTATTGGTCATAATTTATTTTTTTTTCTTTTTCTTCAACTCAGCAAAAATCACCTGAGAAAGTGTTCCAGTTGGGAGTACAGGAACCTGATGAGAGAGCGCCGAGCTATAATTTCAGCATGGCAGTCATTCAGGGCTAGTCCTCTGTCGCTCATGTATTCACCATTGATGCACTTTGTCCCTGTGGATACACAGACAACCTGTGCCTCCTTTACATCTGAACCTGGGTGGGGAAAATCCAAATCTCAGATAACAACGTACATAAGTTCTCCACATTTACTTTTTACATTTTCTTTATTCTTGACAGAGTGCCTAGTAAAGGACAGAGTACTTTAATAAGGAACACAAATTTAATCAAAAATCCTCCAAAATGGGTTAGCTGTATAACTCTGTGAAAAAAAAAGAAAATTAGAAAATACCTGCTGTCATGACAACACCTGCCAAGACTTTCCTTCGAGCATGTGGAGATGTGAAGTTATCAGTTAGTTCACTGAACTTTTCGACAACCAAACGAGAGACGGCGTCAGCCAGGACCTAAAGCAAGCAAAACAATAAGACACAAAGCTTCCAGAAACAGTCTGAAAGAAAGGCTCCTGCTAAGCACCTGCATCTCATTATAAGTAATGTCCATTTTGAAATAGCAATAGACAACACACTAAAAAGAGGTAAAAAGCTATGAAAGTTCTTCTGCACTTTTTTTTTGCTGGTGTAAATGACAGGCAGAGAGCAAAGAACCCCTCAGGTTCTCCACTCGAAGCGCTCTGAGAGCTGCTGCACTCGCTGACGATCTGAGGCAGCTTGATGAAGAACAGAGTTTGAATAGCACTCAGCCATGGTGCTGATACTAATTAAGATAACAACTCTGTTATCAGTGTGCAGGGATTACAGGTATGGATCAGTTTATGTGTAAATAGACTCTCAAAGAATTGAACTTGTCTCTCCTGAAGTCACCTTTAATCATATTTTGTCAAACTGGTCACAACAAAAACCTTTTTAGAATAAAACTGTAACATAACCACTATGT